ATTATCAGAACTTATGTGGTGTAGTGAAATAAGGCCTGACTGAAGTAGATTTCTCACAAAGTGACAATCAACTTCAATATGTTTAGTGCGTTCGTGAAATACTGGATTTCTAGCTATGTGCAGAGCAGATTGACTGTCGCAGTATACTTCAATAGGCATAGGCAATTGCAATGTGAGTTCTGTTAATAATCTGCTGAGCCAGACTAATTCTCCTGCAACTTTCCTGAGAGCCCTATACTCTGCTTCTGCTGAAGACAGAGATATAGTCTCTTGTTTCTTGGACTTCCAGCTGAGTGGACTGTTGCCTAACAAGACAATATAGCCACTTACAGACTTCCTGGTGTCAGGGCATGCAGCCCAGTCAGAGTCACAATAGGCCTTAACATTGTATGATTGATCTTGGGACATGAAAATTCCCAGAGTAGGGTCTGCCTTGAGGTACCTCAATATGTGAAAAGCTGCTTGTAAATGAGGTTCTCGAGGGTCCTGCATAAATTGGCTGAGATGCTGCACACTGTATGAAATATCCATTCTAGTGTTAGTCAAGAAATTCAGCTTCCCAACAAGCTTTCTATAAAAGAGAGGTTCTGATAAGGGAGCTCCTTCTTTGGCATGTAGTTTCACTGCAGGGTCAAGTGGAGAGTTGCAGCTGCTCATACTTGCAACTTTGTAGTCTTTTAACAAGTCAAGAACAAACTTCCTTTGAGAGATAATAAGTCCATCCTCCTTGTAGAGTACTTCCATCCCAAGAAAATAGTGTAGCCTTCCCAAGTCCTTAATCTTAAACTTGTCATGGAGGAAGATTTTGAGTTCTTCAATCTCAGAATCACTGGTGCCTGTTAGAATTACATCATCTACATAGACAGCAACAAAAATGCTGGAATTTTCAGACTTCTTGTGGAACAAGGAATAATCATTCAATGAATGAGTATACCCCTTTGAATACACAGTACATGTGATTCTAAGTCCAAGTCTGTTTCTTTTCCTGCTTCTTCATGTACATGTACTCAACACTGTGTTTTAGTCAATAAAAGTCCTAATATTTCTGCTTGTTTTCTGACTCA